GGCCAGGTGATTGTCCATTCCACACATAAAGCACCTCTTCTTCTCAATCTCTTTGCTGCAATTTTGACTGATATGTCCATCATTACCGCAACGGTTGCACCTTATGATCTTTTTACCTCCTTTAGGAACCTGTTTTGAACTAATGGCAACCGGATTCACGCAACTGACAAAACACAATTCTTTGCGACGTATAAGTATTAAACTTCTGGATTTTTCAGCAATCTGGCACAGCGACATTGTTGATATTGAGCATGCAGTTTGCAGCTGTTTTCTTGCTTCGTCAGGAAATCCAAGAATAAATGCGCACCTTATCCACTTTTCGCTTACGTGAGATTAGTTTATATTAGTTATATTAGTTTGCTCAGTCTTGTTAATTCTGCGAGATATACGTCAACGGACTCATTCTCTTTAAGACGGCGATTTACAAACTCTTCGTATGTTGTTAGCGGAGAAGCAGAGAAGGCAGTAGTCAGTGCAGTTTTCACTTCATTGTGGTTTTTTTTTATCTCATCACTTAGGCCTTGATAAACGGCAAACGCCCCACCAGAAATAAATAAGGGGAGCACCACATGCAGCTCGTTAACTTTTTGAAGTTTTGCTTCCAGTTCCAAATTCTGTATCCATTCTGAAAAATCACCCGAACCATCGAATTGTGAAACCAGATCCGCAAACTTTATAACGATACTCATTGCCGAAATAGCTTGTATTAATAAAATATATTTGTTTTTTTTTACTGTCTTCTGAATATCTCTACTCAATATTTATATATTTGCAAAATACCCCCGAGGGTATAATAAACAGTATAAACGTTATGTACAATATGATATATACGACGCGCCCACAACATTCCTTTTGACGCAACATGTTAATAGTTTATATACAATACAATTATTTACACTAATTAGACTTTGTTAATAGGAATTAACAATTTGCTTCATTTTCACCATTCATTTCACCAGATGATACAGATTCAACATGGTATTCTACAGCGCAATTTTTGTGAATGTTTTTCGAGATGCAGTAAGTTGCCCAATGATTAATTTTATTACATTTACGGCACGTTTGACCGAATGCAGGACAGTTTTTTGCTTCATGTTTTCTGTTGCATTTCTTGCAACGTCTTTGTTGTTATTTTTTATTTGAGCCATTATTGATTTGTTTCCAGTTTTGTTTGTCTGGTTCAATACGGTCTTAGCCTTTTGACTCGTTTTCGTTATTCGAGAACTTTCTCCATTTTGGTATTTGTCCGACTGACGCATTTGCTTGTCTTAGTTTTATGAATTTTTTTACCACGTCAATATCTTTTTCGTATGTAATTTGTTTCATTTCTGCATTTGCAACTTCTTCAGCTCTGCATATGTCAGTCGCTTTAGTTAAAGTTGAATCTGCTCCTTTTCTAAGTAGGTTATTTTGGACTTTACTTGATTTGATTCCGTCAATTATTTTGTATAATATCAGACCATCTTGCATGTTTTCAAATGCATATTTAACATCTTGCATGTTTGAGCCAGATTTTTTAAATCAGTTAGAAAGAAATCAAGTGATTCATTGACGTCTTGTTTTCGTGAGAAAAACTTTCTTCGTTCCAAAACCAGATTTCTTTTCGGTAAACAGTATTTTTCGAATATTTCAAAAAGATCTTTTACTGTGATGTCATCGATTTTACCGTCGTCAATTTCTGTTTTGTTTCAAGTCCATGTATTAAATATTTCTCTTCCTTTTTCACCGATAACAAATAAGAATGTCGCGTAATTTTCTTCCTCAGATTTATTTGTCATTGCTGCTTTTACATACAACTGCATAGTTTGTTTCCATTTTTTCCATGTAACAGCTATATTGGATTTATTGAAGTCCATTTCGTTTGGCTTTGTCAAAAAAAGTTCCATCTCTTTTTCATTTTAAAGTACAACATTTTAGTTAACAGCAAATTTAACACATATAATTGAATCATATTTTAGAATATCTAAAACTTTCGTAAGTCTTTGCTAAGTGCTTAGTTATATATAGGAATAAATAGTTATATTTAAAAAAAAAAAATTCTTATTGACAATCATTTTTTTTATAAAGCCATATATTAATTTTGGGAAGAGTGGGCTTTACATAAATATCTTCGCAAAATATGGCATATAATTACTAACAAAAATTGTCAAGAGCTTGTGATTTTTAGTCGGTTAGTTGATTAGTTAAATGAAAGCGGGAGGAATATCCTCATATAATCAACCCCTACGATTTCATAGTTTTTTCAAATCACTCAAAAAAACGCTAACTTATTTACCAAAGATCATTTTTTTGATTATTGTTAACAGTTATGACATCGTCCACGTAGGTTTAAACGGGTATTAATATAAATTATTTGCACAAAACCCGATTTAAAGGCTAATAATTATCAAAGTTTTAATAACAATATTGGTTTTTTTTTTAATTCGTAAAGTTGGTCTAGGTGACCGTGAAAATAATTAGCAAATCGACATGCCAATCATTCCCTATAGTAGGGTGAAGAAAAGCCTTAAATACGAAGCTCGCAGTCGAAAATACGTCATAATCTTTGCCGCGAACAGCTACCATTTTAGTTGCGGGAAAATAAACTTTCGTTCTAAAACAAAAACAATGGCATATCACCCTAGTCTTTAAAACGCCCAAGAGTTGTTGTGTCTTCAGATGATTTTTGATATATACATACAATATATATATATATATTTATATATAAAGTTATATATATATACATATATATAAATATAGATAATAAATATATATATATTTGTATATATATATACATATAAATACACACATATATATATATATATAAATATACAAATATTAATATATATATATATATATATATATATATATATATATATATATATATATATATATATATATATAAATATATATATATATATATATATATATATATATATATATATATATATATACATATATATATATATATATATATATATATATATATATATATATATATATATAAATATGTATACATATATATATATATATATATATATATATATACTAGCTGGATTGACCCGTAAAAATACGGGTCTTTGTAATTCTATTCCACACAAACCTTTTCCCTTATTTTCTTAATCTAGCTGTCCGTATCGGTAAATACAGGTCTTTTCTTCTACTTCTATATTTATTTATTCCACGCCAATCATTTCTTTACTTGTTCCTTATTTACTTCAATATTTTTTAGTAAACGGTGGAAAAAAATTCATCAAAAAAATTTGCTTAAAGAGCAAAAAAAAACTTTAACATACGCACTTTTTTCGCATACGTATATAGCTTATTAAACCCCGTTTATTTATTTTTTTTTTTTTTAAATTCTGAGCTAAACTACTTCCTACATTTAGACCAGCCATGGACCATGGTTTATGGTCGCGTCCTAGCCATTTTCATTAGTTACTATTTACTATATTTATTATTATTATTATATGCTTAGTTTTGAATAAGAACGGTCTTTTATAGTTACCTTTGTATTATACGGAAACGGTAATGCAATTCTTTAAAACGTTAGTCGCTTAAAGCGTCAAAAGTCATGCAAAAAAATAAATTATAAATTTTGTGGTTTAAAAGTTGAAAAACTAATAATAATATAACAAAAAGTTTGGTAATTTTTAAACGTTATTATTTAGCTCTTACTTATGGTATTTATTTTGTTTTCATTTTACATTTTTAAAAAAATGTTGAAGCGCCTAACTACATGCATAACTTTGATAGCTCACAAGTTAAGTGCGCTGTCATCAGATTCGCTGTGCAAGGCTTCAAATCCGCCCCTAAAAAATTTCAATACATTTTTTTTAATCTGGCTATATTTATAGCAAAAAATTAAATATAACAAAAAACCTTTTAATTGCTTTTTTTTCCCTGCCTCCACTGCAATACCATGTAGAGTAGCAGGACGGTTTTATCAAATTTTTCCTTTATTAGGTTTTAGGACCTTTTTTTTAAGACTATCCGTAGCTTATTAGGACCAATTATGTGAGAACAGTATCAAAATCGTGACACACACGCAACAAATTTTCGCCCCGTTTATTGGTGTTTTTAGAAATCCAAAAAATTTATAAAATTTAAAAAAAAAATACGGTTAAAGTGTATAACATTTAACTTGTTTAACTTCACAAATATTTTGTAATTTAAAGAAAAAAATTGCTGGTGGTAAATTTGAACCACGACTATTACGTTCAGAAGCTTAGCGCGCTAACCACTCGGCCATGCTGACACATCAAATATCGAAATTTTAAAAATATATAAAAATTGTTTTTAACAGAATTGCTGTAGATCAAAAATTTAGGAGAGGTTGACGCAATGCAATTTTTAAGTCAAAGTCAAACTATAAAACTTGAAAAATGTTTCAGTATGTTTTATCATTACTTAATTACATACGTTAGATATTTGCATACACGTTTTCTTCTAAAAAAAGTGCTGCGACTCTTTCTACTAACACTAGTATTAAGTTCGGCATTATTATATAGAAGATAGATAGATTATAAAATAGTTTTTCACTTAAAAGGACAAACTCTATTCCACATTAACCATATCTCTATTTCTCCCTCAAATATTTTTTAGTGAACAATAGATTATGAGCTAGAAAAAAAAAAATCACATGTGCACCTTTTCCGTATATTTATATTTAGAGCTTAACATGAAGAAGGTAAATCATTTAGTTCAAGACAACCTGCCCAAACCCAAATCCTCTGTTGATTTATGCACACTCACTGTGGCTAGGCCTGTAAAATAAGTAGCTAGGCAAGTCAAGTAAATTAATTTGATCTGTTTTTCTGCATAAAACAAAAACAAAAAATGTGAAGTACTTGATAAAAGGAACTGTAATATTGGATTTAGTTAATTCAATACAAAGTGATAGGAAACTGCAAAATAAGGTAACAACGTGAAAATTATTCAAATACTAATTTACAACAATTTGTATTGCGTTTTATTAAAATAGCTTTATTAAATGGTATGAGGATTGATGATTCTTCTTCTTCGCCTTTAGAAAATGGTTAACGATTTGAAAGACTTTTAAATTGATTATAAAAGCATTATCTGAAAATGAAATAAAATCATTATTGATAACACTGAATGCACATTTTTTTGTTTTATGTTAATTCATTTGAGAAATGAAAAATACGAAACAAAATTTAGTAATATTAAATAAATATTAGACACTTACTTTGTGAGAGTGCTTTTTTAAAAGTCTCTAATATTTGGTTGGAAGGCTGGAATAACTCTTTTTTTAAAAAAATTCAGTTTTATCAGCATTGCTAAAGATAAAAATTCTTACTGACACAAAAAAATTAGGCATTTTTTCTTAAAATATTTCTTGGCTTTTTGTGAACGATTAGGAGTAAGTTTCAGTAATGAAGCTACCCAATAATCATTTTTAACGATAGACACCAACGTGAAGGTAAGCCAAGCTGTCTATCAACACAAAACATCACAACAACATTACAGGATGACAAACAATAACACCAGTAGTGTAGGCAGGATTTTTGTTGTTTCAGATATATATTTAGAAGCTGTTGAAGAGTTTAACTTTGTTATGTCTAAAAAAATTCAGGTTAGGAAAAACACTTTTTTTAAACATTTGTTCCTAAGCTTTAAAAACATCAATTTTTTGCAAAGTATTTTAATTCTATAAACGTGAATACACTTAAGTTTGGTTGAAAGTGCTATCTGAAGCATCAAAAGACCCTGCCTATGCTACTGAATACACATAGCATCAAATATTTGTACATAACACATTTGCACATAACACAAAATATTCAGATTATGTGTTACCAGAATAATTAAAAAAGCTAGACAACACAACCTAGCTCAACACTTGTAACACCGCTTGGCACTAAACGCTGCCAAGTAACACCACAATTTAGTAACACCGCTTGGCATTAAGTGCCAAGTAACACCACTAATTAGTAACACCGCTTGGCTAGCAAGAATCACAATCTTGCACTACACGTTGCCAAGTAACACCACTTTTCACATGGAAACAACTTAATATAAACTTGTATAAACTTAAGCACATAAATATAAATAAAGATATATAAACGCATATAAACACATACATTTATATACACATATAGCAAAAAAAAAAAAAAAACATACAAAAAATAAAAACACATATAACACATAATATACTTGTCAAAATTATAAATTAAGAACATTTGTAAAGACAACATTATTTGTGTAGTGTTTATTAAATGACATACCTTGTAATGGATGTTTATCAACTTTGAAAAACAAACTATTAAATGATCTTGTTCTTGAACATGCAACATATAATTGGCCGTGTGAAAAGCAAGGTTTTTTGAGATAAACACCAACTTTTTCAAATGTTTGACCTTGACTTTTATTTATGGTTATTGAGTATGCTAACCTAACTGGAAACTGACGGCGTTTAAGTGTAAAAGGTAAATTTGCATCTGATGGAGCTAATTGAACTCGAGGAACAAATACCCTGTTACCAGCTGATACACCTGTTAAAACCTCACCATCAATATAATTGTTGTGTAATGCACGCACCATCAAACGGGTTCCATTACAAAGTTCACCTTTGAGATCTAAATTTCTAAGTAGCATTATAACAGCATCAATTTTTAATTTTAGGCAATGAACAGGCATACCTGATGGAGTCAAACTATTTAAAAACTCGACTGGAAAGTTATTAATTTCATTAAGATCATCAGTATCAATGCTATCTGAACTTAAATATGTTTCACATCACCGGGTAAACGATGAAGCACTTCTTCATTTATTGCCAATGAATCAACATTTGTTGGCGTTAAAATAGCACGTTTTGCATAATCAGCTTCTTCTGCACCACCGAAAATCTTCTCCACAATAGATTCATTATCACTGAGAAAGCACTGCTCAGGTATTTCAATACACCCTCGCAAAGAATCTTCAGGCTTGACAGGTAATGTTCCACTTCCAAGCTTTAAAAGCCATTGAGAAAATTCCTCTTCTTCTATCTGAACCCTCATGTTTACAGTTAATGAGAACCTTTGCACATATTGCCAATGTTCAGAACATTTTAAACATGATTCTATAACTTCTGCTGGTCGACCTCGCTTCACAACTGGAATAAGCCATGCATTGTGCACCCATTTTTGAGAAGAGTTGCAGCTATTCCTGTCCATGCAGCTGTTGCAGTTCTAATATGCCTGCTCTGTGTTTCAGAAATTAAATAGTTGTAAGTAAATGTTTTACCACAACCGGCAGGCCCATCCATAAAAAACAACCTTGAATGCTTATTTTCATTAGTAGGTTCCACACTTAGTGCAGCAAGGATCGCATCAGCTACATTACGTTGATTATCATTCAATAATGGTCTAACTCGGTTTGCTTCATCAATAAACACCTGAACATCTTCATCATCATTTTCTGAGACATTATCTAAAAACTGATCTAAAGCTGGCAAATTATAATCAGCTAAGGTTTTACCACTCTGATTAATTATAGATTCTATTTGACGAAGAGCTGCCTGCTCAGCAAGTACGACTGGCATTGAATGGTGTATGTAATCCTCAACCATATAATTTTTAAATGTATTCCAAAGGTGTTAAGAATCATCAGGTTCACATAAAGTTAATATGATGCAAAACAGTAGCCTAATTTGTTTAGGCATCCGAGTTGCAGCAGCTTCAGTTAATGTATTTCTCCACTCAATGTCTTCTTGCAATAAACCTAAATGATAACATGCTTCACGAAATGTATTAAAAACAGTACCATGAACAGTACGCAAATCCTCAAAAGACTTTGCACCTTTTACATGCAAAAGTAACAACCTGAGAAAAAATAATTCGCAAAATAAACTGACTTTATACATTCGAACAACCACCTTATCACTACCTCTTTGTCTTACTTTCCACATGCAATTTTTATCAAAAACAAAGTGATATGGAATTTCAACATAAGAATACTGACGTGCTTCATTATTTTCAGCATTTAACTTAAACCAAGCGGTTAGGTGAGTGTCACGCTGTGCTGCACGATCTATAGCTACTTGTTCTTCTCCTTCGTTAAAATATACTCTCTGATTATCAGGAAGGTGGATTTGAAGGCGGATAATAGTATGTGACATATCACTTATGGAATACTCATATATTCGCCAAAGAGCCTCTGGGGCGGAAACAAAGCGACAGTCTAAATATGTGTTAATTTCATCATGGTCAACACTTTCATTAATTACCACATTCGCACAATCATGCCCCTTATAGACATATTTGTATAAATACTTCACTGACTTAATAGACATGCAAGCTTCAACATTAATGTGGGCTTGGTATTTTTTTGATAACCAGGGGTTATAGGGTACGACCCATCGATTATCAACTTGGTTACCTTTTATAATGACTACTCTACCATTATCTAAACGCCTGTAGTTAGGATAACCATTGAAAATTGCAACAGTGCAAGGATTAAACTCTTTAGGAAATTTTTTTGTGCAAACTCCATCTTTCATGCAAGGAGAATTGGGATTTAAAATCCCACATGGTCCATGAATCATACATGTTTTTACAATTTCAAAAAGTTCAGGATCAACAGTTTGATCTGGAATTTCAGCTGATATTAAACTATCAATATCCTCTGCTGTTTCTAGCTTATCATCGTTTATAAAGTGTAATAAAATATGCACATGTGGCAAACCACGTTTTTGAAACTCAATAACCTGTACATGACTTACAACTTTGCCTAAGACTCCATGTTTAAAAATATCACCTTAGAAGCATTTAAGTTTCATCTTAAATACGCGACAAACTAAATCAGGCCTGTCAGTTGCGCTCTCACCTGGATTTAAATTTTCTGTAATTTCTCTCCATTTTGAATTACAGGTAAAAGTAATAAAAAGATCTGGTTTACCATATTTCTTTATAATTGCCATTGCATCTTCAAAATTTTCTTTTAAAGCTCTTGGACTTCCAACAAATGAGGATGGTAGTATAACAACACGACCCGGTCTTACATTAAGGTTATTTGCAACATTATTTACATACTCATGTAATGTATCGTATTGTTCACTTCTAAGTTTGTTTTGGTTATTTCTGATAAAAGCAAGGCGCTGTCCTTCAATCTTGACATATGCATCAACAGCATACTGTTGAAAAAGTTTCTTACCATAAAATATAGGACTGAACGTTTGTCTAATAGAAAGCCTATAATTGTAGTACTGAGATAAAGTAACACGATTTCGAACACGTGTTGCTCGGTCAGGATTGTGCTCTAGTTGATCATGCCATCCTGCATCACCCCTTGGAAAAAATATTGGATATATCATTGGATCTAGATTTGCAGACATACTTGAAATTGTTTTTAAGGGTTGACCTCGAGGATAAATAACAACTTCTCTAGATGGAGGTGGAGCACCATCATTTCCTACAAACACAATGGCAACCTCTTCATGTGATGGAAGATTGTATCGACGTCTATCACAACCCTCAAGCAACGACATTTTGACAACAGAAATCGGTCGACCTTCTATAGCAGCTTGACGAATTTCTGCATCTTCAACTTCTGCCGTGTTTTTAAATGCAAGCGCATATGGGTTCTCTTGATTAATTATAGTCTGCAAAAGTTCCATTAACTCACGTATGCAACAATTATTTTGCTCCATTCGAAAGTTTAAAGCAGTATTAGGATCATAAACATATAATTGACAATAAGCAGGTGGATCCCCTTGCTGATGTCTTAGATTACCAATACGATGCATAATTTGCCCACTAATTCAAAAACAGGGTGGACCACGATTTGACGGAGGATCTATTGTGGCAATGAATGAAGCAAAAGATAGACAGGCATTATAATTTCGTATATGCTTGAAAAAATTTTGATTCAAAGCACGATCAACATGGTTGCCTGTCATTAAATCAACCATCAGCGGTGGATAAGGTGAAAGTGGAGGTAAGACAACCTTTCCTGAATGGCAGCACAAAAAATGTGTTTCATTTAAAAATTTTTTAGCACCACAATACTGACAATTATGGTTCATTTCTCCTAGGTAATTACTCTCTTTAAAAACATTATTTCTTGCTATGCAATGCATTCCACGCCTTAATAATACTCGTCGAGCCTCATTTCTTTCATTTTGGCGACGATTAACTTCTTTACGTCTAGCCTCATTCCTTTCATTTTGGCGACGATTAACTTCTTCACGTCTAGCCTCATTGATTTTGGCGACGATTAACTTCTTCACGTCTAGCCTCATTCCTTTCATTTTGTCGACGATTAACTTCTTCACGTCTAGCCTCATTCCTTTCATTTTGTCGACGATTAACTTCTTCACGTCTAGCCTCATTCCTTTCATTTTGGCGACGATTAACTTCTTCACGTCTAGCCTCATTCCTTTCATTTTGTCGACGATTAACTTCTTCACGTCTAGCCTCATTCCTTTCATTTTGTCGACGATTAACTTCTTCACGTCTAGCCTCATTCCTTTCATTTTGGCGACGATTAACTTCTTCACGTCTAGCCTCATTCCTTTCATTTTGGCGACGATTAATTTCTTCTCGCCTAGCCTCATTTCTTTCATTTTGGCGACGATTAATTGCTTCTCGTCTGGCCTTATTTCTCTCTTTTTGGCAACGATCAATTTCTTCTCGTCTGGCCTCATTTCTTTCATTTTGACGATTTCTTCTATTTTCAGCTCTTAAGTTACTTGACATAATTGAGAAATTATTTATGTTTGATAAAACTTTATCTTAATAATTTATTGCTATACTAATCTAAAATGAACAAAAACAATAAAGTGCTATTTATCAGTTTAAACCTATGAAACTATGTGTATAGCGTCTAATAAAATTTGTGAACAAAAGATTGTAAGTAATAAAACAGTATTTTTTGAAACAAATAAAAATTTTTATTATTTTAAAAGTCATATTAATGGTAATATTGAAAAGCAAAATTAGTTACATATTTTTAAATGACATGCCAACAATTGCAAACATGTTGCATCATATAGACCACATGTGGCTGACAACTGATTTTAAATACTATTTTATAATATATCTAAAGAGAATAATGTAAAGAGATTAATATGTGTATAGTGCATATATTAGACATATTAAACAGATATCATAGAAAAAGAAAAACTTTAAATATATTTACCCAATCTTTCAAAAACTATATAACACTTAACAAATAAAAGTTAATACAAAAGAAAATTTAGTATTATTAAAATTAAAAATGAGGATAAAAAGATGTTAAAATGTAAGTTAATAAAAAAACTTATAGACAAATTATTAAAAACTTTTATAACATAAGAGTTCTTTGTTAGTTTAGGATTTAAAAACAGAATTAAAAATCAAAAGAAATAAAACAGTAAAAGTATATAAATTAAATTAATAAAAAATTGCGAAATTAAAAAAAACATTTTTTTAAAAAGTCAATTTTCTTTATAAATAAAAAAGAAGATAATTCTACCAGTAGTTTAAAAAAGCTACTGGTAGAAATTAAAAGAGTTAAACCGCTTTCCAGCACCCCTCCTTCTACCAGTCGTGTCATATGGGGCTTGTCTCCTCCATCTAAAGGAGGGATCATCTCCCCCATATTGACTCCACCGGTAAAAAGCTCTTGAAGATATTGGACCTGGGTGCTGGGAGCGATATTGCAGGAAATCTTGATGCGATGCTAAAAAACATAAACAAAAAAAGAAATAAATTTGAATACAATACTGCACAAAACAACCAATAAAAATATTATCTAAAACTATTTAGACTTCAAAAAAAAAAAAGTAATGACAAAAAAAAATAAATAAATAAAGTAATGTAAAAATAAGAATATGCAATGTTTAAATTTCATATATACCTACACAAATACACTTAACACCCACAAAACTGCATAAGTATGCAAAACAGATTACCTGATGGTCCTGCAGATATTGTTGCTATTATGGAAATAAATAAAAAAGTATATGAACTAACACATATATTAAAAAGTTATGTAATTGCATACAAACATGAAAAAGTAATGTTTAGGTTTCAATACACATAACACTGCATAAATACGGAAAAACTGCATAAGTATGGAAAACACATTACCTGGTGGTACTGCAGTTGATACTGTTGCTATTGCAGAAATAAATAAAAAAGTATATAAACAAACACATATATTAAACAGTTATGTAATTGCATACAAACACGAAAAAAGTAATGTTTAGGTTTCAATACACATAACACTGCATAAATACGGAAAAACTGCATAAGTATGGAAAACACATTACCTGGTGGTACTGCAGTTGATACTGTTGCTATTGCAGAAATAAATAAAAAAGTATATAAACAAACACATATATTAAACAGTTATGTAATTGCATACAAACACGAAAAAAGTAATGTTTAGGTTTCAATACACATAACACTGCATAAATACGGAAAAACTGCATAAGTATGGAAAACACATTACCTGGTGGTACTGCAGTTGATACTGTTGCTATTGCAGAAATAAATAAAAAAGTATATAAACAAACACATATATTAAACAGTTATGTAATTGCATACGAACACGAAAAAAGTAATGTTTAGGTTTCAATACACATAACACTGCATAAATACGGAAAAACTGCATAAGTATGGAAAACACATTACCTGGTGGTACTGCAGTTGATACTGTTGCTATTGCAGAAATAAATAAAAAAGTATATAAACAAACACATATATTAAACAGTTATGAAATTGCATACAAACACGAAAAAAGTAATGTTTAAGTTTCAATACACATAACACTGCATAAATACGGAAAAACTGCATAAGTATGGAAAACACATTACCTGGTGGTACTGCAGTTGATACTGTTGCTATTGCAGAAATATATAAAAAAGTATATAAACAAACACATATATTAAACATTTATGTAATTGATAACAAACATGAAAAAAGTAATGTTTAACTTCAATACCCATAACACTGCATAAGTTTCAATACACATAAAACTCATAAAACTGCCTAAGTATGCAAAACACATTACCTGATGGTACTGCAGATGATATTGATGCTATTGTAAAGGTTAAAAAAAAAAAAAAGTGTATAAAGTAACATATGTTAAACATTTATGTAATTGCATGAAAACAGTAATGCCTAAGTTTCAATACACATAAAACCCATAAAACTGCATAATTATGCTAAACAGATTACCTGATATTATTTCTTGAGGTGCTAATGTAGAGACAAAAAAATAAATAAATAAAGTAATCTGTAAATTAACATATGCTATCTTTAAGTTTTAATACACATAACACTCATAAAACTGCATAAGTATGCAAAACACATTACCTGATGGCACTGCATTGATGCTATTGTGAAGGTAAAAAAAAAAAAAAAAGTGTATTAAGTAACATATTTTAAACATTTATCTAATTGATAACAAATATGAAAAAAGCAATGTTTAAGTTTCAATACACATAAAACCCATAAAACTGCATAAGTATGCAAAACACATTACCTGATGGTACTGCAGATGATATTGATGCTACTGTGTAAGTAAAAAAAAAAAAAGTGTATAAAGTAACATATTTTAAAAATTTATGTAATTGATAACAAACATGAAAAAAGTAATGTTTAATTTTAATACACATAACACTCATAAAACTGCATAAGTATGCAAAACACATTACCTGATGGTACTGCAGATGATATTGATGCTATTGTAAAGGTAAAAAAAAAAAAAAAGTGTATAAAGTAACACATGTTAAACATTTATGTAATTGCATGAAAACAATAATGATTAAGTTTCAATACACATAAAACCCATAAAACTGCATAAGTATGCTAAACAGATTACCTGATATTATTGCTTGAGGTGCTAATGTAGAGACAAAAAAGCAAATAAATAAAGTAATCTGTAAATTAAGATATGCTATCTATAAGTTTTAACACACATAACACTCTTAAAACTGCATAAGAATGCAAAACACATTACTTGACGGTACTGCAGATGACGCTATAGTGAATATAAACTAACATATACTAATCAATTAAACAGTTTATTTTAGAGTGATAAAACCGCACACAAACATCAAATAATGTGGGTTAAAATTAAACAAAAAGAAACATAAGTGTACTTTGCTTACCAATTGAATTTTCTAAATTTTCTAAATAGAATAAAAAAAATTATTAACATTAGGAAAGAAACTAACATGCAGAATATTTGTCAACTTTAGGAAATCTATAAATAAAGTTGGAACAAAACAAAAGGCAAAAATAACAATCACAAAACAAACCAAAAAAGAAAAAAGCGACAAAAAAAATAAAAAATAAAAATAATAAAAACAATCCACAAGAACAATATAGTAACTTACTAAGTTGTTGAAATATAAGCCCTATAAAAAAAAATGCAAAAAATTGTATCAAAAAAGCTAAAAGACCATAGAATACACCTTTTTTTGAAAGTAAAATGCTATATCTTTATCTATTATACACAAATGTAATATAATCAAATTCTGTTTACCCATTGAATGTTCTAATTTTTCTAAATAAAATAAAAACCTTATAAACATTAAAATGAACTAACTTGCCAAATATAGAATAACTTTATGTTAAATAAATATGTAATAAAAAAAATAAAGAGCATTACAACAACAATAACAAATTGCTTACTTAGATTCTCAACAGAATCTTCTAATTTTTTTAAATAAAATAAATTTAAAAGTTACAAAAGTCACTTGCTGACTGACAAACTGTCACAACTGACAAAAGTCAGTTGCTAAATAACTTCAAAAAAACTAAAAAAGCATAAATGTATTTGCACAAAAAAAAAACAAAAAACAACAACAAAATTCTTCACTTAGCTTGTCCATTACTTCTGCTAAACATTAAAAAAAAGTTATAATTAACAAATTGAAATATATATCTTTGTAACATATCTTTCTCAAGCAAAGTTAGCTTACTTGGCAAGAGCTCTTCGGCTCTGATCTCTTGAACATCTAATATATATATAGACAAAATTAATTTTCAAAATATTTACTTTTTCAATTTAACATATAAGATTTGTCTT